GGATGGACTGGGAGATGGAGGACAAGAGATGATGGGCAGGGAGACGGAGAAGAGGAGGTGATGGACAGAGAGACAGAGAAGAGGAGGTGATGGACAGGGAGACGGAGGACGGGAGATGATGGACAGGGAGACGGAGAAGAGGAGGAGATGGACAGGGAGATGGAGAAGAGATGATGGACAGGGAGACAGAGGGCAGGAGGTGATGGACAGGGAGAAGCAGAAGAGGAGTCGATGGACAGGGAGATGGAGAACAGAAGATGACGGACTGGGAGATGGAGGAGTGGGAGGCAACAAAGAAGGAGGCGATGGACAGGGAGGTGATAGACAGGGAGACGAAGGACCAGGAGACAGCGAACAGGGAATTGATGGGCAGGGAGACAAAGGACCGAGAAATGAACGACAGGGAAATAAAGGAGCGGGCAATGTTGGACAGGGCGATGAGGAGCGGGAGGTGATGGAGCAGGAGCCAGGCAGGTGGGGAGCTCGGGAGCCTGCACAGCATCGCGGGTCCTCCCTGGGGCGCCTCCCAGACATTGCCCCAAAGCAGGGCGGCTGGCATAACCAGCATACTGGGAAAAAAATCCCTTTTTCTACGGGCTGTTGAGCTTTTATCTGGAAACATGGGGAACCCTTCAAAATTTGAGGAGAAGCTCATTTCCTGAGATGGTGATGGACAGAGGTGCTTCCTCTGCAGGTGCCGATGGAGCAACTCCCCCTCAGCACCCACCCTAGCAGTTTCAAAACCACCTAGAAAGCGAATAATATTTCCATAAATAGCAAATAATAGTTCCCGAGCCTCAAAACTTGCACAGACACATCTCCACGTGTCTCACCAGTAATGGACAACCAGTAATCAATTCTGCATTTTGCCAATAACCTTCAGAAGCGAGCGGCGGCAGGAGAAAGCAGAGGGCTGTTCCCGCGGCAGAGCCGGGGCTGTGCTGTGCTGCATCCCTCCTGCGGGGCCGCGGCCCCCTTCTCTGCGCTGCCCCGAGTTACTCATTAACTCCGAGAGGGAGCAAGGGGGAAAATCAACCTTTCTGCTCGCTCGGCTAAAGGAAACGCTTCGGCAAAGCCAGACCTTGACAACTGTTATTATTAACAGTGTTATTGACATGTTTGTTATTATTAACCTTTGTTGGGTTTGGCATGATAAAAGGAAATAACCCACAGAGGTTGACGGTATCATCTTCCTAAAGCGTGCCCCGAATGTCCCGCTATATTCACTCTGAGCTGTACGTGGGATGCCTCGCTCATTTACATCATGTCCATCCTAAGGAGAGCCTTCCCAAAATCCCCGCTGCCAGAACACTCCGAATGTTTACTCCCAACTCTTATTTTCCAGTGTGAACCTGGTGCGACAAACCAGCGCGTTATTGCCTCTGTTGCCCAATTAACGTGAAGGAAATGCTGCCTCCCGCGCCTTTCACCCCGCCTGTGTTTGATTCGACGGGAGTCCCAAAATCCATAACCCCTTTGGACCTCACCGCGAGCGCGGTCCTGCGGTCACCGTCCCGCCGGCGCCTGAAAATAACACAGGTGGGAAACGCAGGCAGAACCACAGAATCACAGGATTTCCCAGACTGGGAAAGACCTGCAAGACCATCCAGTCCAACCCTGAACCTAACGCTGCTGAGCCCGCCACCAACCCACGTCCCCGCGCGCTATATCTACACGACCCTTAAATCCCTCCAGGGATGGGGACCCCACCACTGGGTGGGTAACGCGTTCCGATGCCGGATGAGCCTTTCAGTAAAGAAATTCTTCTGAATATCCACTCTAAACTTCCCTCGGCGCAGCTTGAAGTCATTTCCTCTCGTCCTCAAGAGCCTTCGCTCCGTCCAGGAAGCGAAGCGGTGGGTAGCCAGGGGCCGTGCCGCGCGGCCGCCGGC